TGAAATCTAAAACTAATAACACTGCCATCCCAAACAAATAATTTTTGAGTTATCATAGGATTTAAGTACGATCTCATCGAATTAGCTGCTGTTGAGATAATTCTAACTTATAATTGTCGATTGAGACAATGCTTACACACTACGCCCCGTTAGCATAGCATCCCAATTCTGAATAGCAGTGTAATTTGAACTAAATCATGTTGACATCTTTTAAAATTAAAAAACAAATAAATTTAAGATATATATCTATATATGTGCATGAGATGAATACCATAAACCATAGAGTAGAAAATTATGTATTGAATGAACTCATGTTGAGTACTAATATTTTCTTTCTTTTTGCCAAAGTTGAGTACTAATATTTTCCTTTAGGAGGTTTGCAATTTAAGACATTGATCCTATCGTTCGGTCTGATAAATTCTTCAGCCCAATTTCTCAATGGAAATGCCTCGTGATGGGGCCCATTTTCTGGCCTAAAATATGAGGCCCATTGTATAGATGAAGATGATAGATTTGTGGTTATTATTTAAGGAGAGACACACCCAAGTAGGTTCATCATCAATCATCAAAAACTCCAAAAAGACATGGAGGTACCTTCCAAAACCCAGAAACCCATTTCCCGTACAAGGTCACATATTAGTTACTCACGGATCAAGCTGGAAAGCGGCTCAACAAGCCACTGAAGCTGGTGGTTCTTCGTTCTTGAATTTGGACAATTTAGTGAATGAGGTTCTGCTTTCCCAGAGTTCGACGCTTAAAGAAACCGATCAGATAGATTTTTTAAATACTACTACTTCCGATCCTTAATATAAGACCTTGTTTGACTTTTATTTTGGTTTTAAATATAAGATTCCAATCCACTTTGTCTCTCATATTTATGTATTTTTTCTCAAAGTAGTCCTTCTAACAATAATAGCTTTAGCCAATACAATTGATTAGTAAGGATATTTTAGAAAAGACAACAACAAATAATTAACTTAACTTCTTTCTTTAATCCTCTCAAATTAGTCAATTAGCTTTTATAATTAGGACCGGAGATAGTAAATGTCATGGTGAGCCCCAAAATAAAAGGAATCTGTAATTTGGAAAATTATTAGTAGGCATGGAAGGATAAGAGTAGAATCTATCATTATTCAAAGACCAATCCATCGCTCAACAAAGGAAGACAAGATGCATGCTTTAATTAAAGCCTAAGAGTAATCAATACGTCCAATCAGAGTCATACATGCCCAGTAAGTGTGTCAAAAATGCAGTTAACAACTCAGCAAAAGAAACAGCAAGTATCAATTAGTTTTGCTTAGGTACGGCTAGTCATGTGCAAAAGTTCGACTACACAATGCACTCTATAGCTTACAGAGTGAGTATCTCAGCGTGCAAAGTCAAGGTAAGACTGATCTAGCAAGTAAGTATGCACAAGTTTCAAGACATCTCCAGATGCACGTGAATAGATCTAGTGCTCACCATGCACAGGAAAGACCAAAGGGGTGTTTGGATATAAACCAAACTTTGGTTTCAAAAGTGTTTTTACGGTTTACGAAGTAAATATATAGAGGAGTTTGTCTCGTTTTACGAAAAAGTGCTTCTGAAATCATGGTTTGGAGGTTGCCAAACACCTCTCAAGAAGGGGTTTGTTGAACGCAAATATGAAGAAGTTGCAGAGAAGTGCACACATACCTGATGCGGCGTTGATCAAACGCCAATTTGTTGTCAAGCCTCTTGTCAAATGTATATACCTCAAGCCTCTGTCCCACATTCACATTCCTAGGCCACAGTTGAGATCTTGGAATCAGGAGTTACCATCTGCCTTCTCTTTACATCATGGTTGTCTTCCTTCTCCTTCCATTTTTAAATTTTTGAAAATATTATTGTGTGGTCCCATGGAAGAAAATCTAAATAGAATGGAGCCTCACAAAATACAAAAATAACATTGCTGTCCCAGAGTAAATAATTCTCCAGTTATCGAAGGCTTTAATTATGATTTCATCAAGTTAGGCGGTGCTCTTGAGATGATTCTAACTTGTAATTGTTGATTCTGATTTGATTATTGTATCAAATTTTTTATACTCATCGGCTCCTTAATATAAAACCTATTTAACTAATTTAATTTGATTAATAAAGTTAGGTAAGTTAGTTAATTATAAGAAATATGACATATTTTCTTTTCTAAAATACCATAATCATCTTTCTTAATATCTTCCTTCCCTGTTCTACTTAACTATGGTTCAGGGAGTATCCGTAAAGGTAATTTAGAAAAAAATAGATAAATATGAGAAATAGATCTTATATTTAGGATAAAAATTAACTTAATAATTAGATCCTATATTAAGAAAAAGAGGAGTATATTTTTTTTGAAAAATTATTTGAGTCAACATTCAGTTTTTTTTTCAAACTTGAAGTATTTATACACTCCACCCTCTTAGCATCGCATCCTAATTCTCAACAGCAATGGAATTGAAAATAAATCATTTTGACATGTTTAAAATTTGAAAAACATATGAAATTAAGATATAATGATGTTAACTTAATAAATTTTATATCATGAACAATTGAATCCCATAAGCCATATAATGAACTCATGTTTAGTTTTAGGTACAAATATTTTTCTGTTGGGCTAAATAAGGCGAAATGAAAGATCTGTAATTTAAGACATTCGTACAACGCTCGGGCCTGATAAATTCTTCAGCCCAATTCCGATAGTCAATTTACCGAGAGGCCCATTTCCGGCCCAAAACACGTGGCCCATTGTATTGGATTGGCCCAATATTACTATTAACACTAATTCATTCACAAACTTTCCCATAAGTTCAACATTTTGTTAGTAGTGGAAAAATGTGTTGAGAGAATTACTTTTTATATTCATCACACCATGCACAAATCTAGTCTATTAATATAAACATCAATTAATTTCCCCCCAAAAAAATTACTCTACACATGGAATTGGTGCTTTGCAATGCTTATAGGGAAGACAAAGTAGTTTTAAATTTGTGTAAATTTAGAAAGACTAACAATTACATGATTTTATTTATTTTTTATGTTCCCTATCAAGCAACCCAGTTGATCAAATCCAAACAACTTTATAACGTGAAGAGTAAGGATTTACATCTAACAAAGAAGCAATAAAAATATATAGAACTAATAAATTAAAAATAGATATTTTTATTTGGGACCTGGACCTTTAAAAAAAAAAGAAGAAGAAGTAGAAATATATAAATATAGAAACATTACCAATTGCATATTTTTTTCTTATAATTTGTTACTTCCCTTGCTGAGCTCCCTAGTTCCCAAATGCAAAGAATCCGTTATTTCTTATCATTGCTTTCATTAAAAAAATGTAATAATAATAAAAAATACCATCCCGTTTCTTATTATTATAAGAGCTAATTGACTAATTTGAGTAGATTGAAAAAACTAGTTAAGTTAGTTATTTATAATAAATAGATGTTGTCTTTCTTAAAATATCTTTACTAATAAAGTGTATTAACTATAACTATCATTATTATAAGAATTATTTTAGAAAAAAATAGATAAATATAAGAGGCAAAATAAATTGAGATATTATATTTAGAACTAAAATAAAAGTCAAACAAACTCTTATATTAATTATAGGAAATAATATTTTCTATAAATTATTGGAAAAATTTATTTTATTTAAATTTTATATGAAATAAAATAAGAATTTACGCACATGACAAGGAAGGGGTTTAGTAGTTGAGGCTTCATCATGACTGAACCAGGTGAGAAGATAAAAAGGCAGACATGGAACGTGACTCTCAGATCCAACATATTCTATATATATATATATATATATATATATATATATATATATTCAAAGCCTAAACAAAATGCTTTTTAGAGATGAAACCGGCTTTCCAAATGCGGACCAGACATTTCCTTTCTAATTTATTTTCGTGAATGAAACAAAAGGTAAGATTTCTGTGACAGAAACAATTCAAAGAGGTAAAGGATATTTAGATTTGTTTTATATTGTATAGCTTTCAGCAAAGAAGAAAAAACATATTAATATTATATGTATAATCATAAATCATTTTTTATCAGAATAAAGATTATTGTATCCAACCAAAAAAGAAGAAAAAGATTGATGTAAAGCATGCTTTAATTTTTTTTTTGAAAGACGACTGTATTTTAATTTTGCCTCAAAATGAGCGTGAGTTTTGATGATAAGAATGATTGTATAATTCGCTTATTTATTATATGTAGAGGGTGAAAAATGATTTATCTAAAACTCAACCAATTTATCACCTGAGGTTAGGTTAGGGGTGAAGATGGGATGAGAGTATCAATAAAGGTTAATGCTTCAAATTCTTCTATTTAAAGAAAAAACTTAGCCAATCTAACATGATATTTTGGTGTATGATACTCCTCCAGTTTTAAGTAGAAGACCCATTTTGTAATATAATTTACACTTTAAAATGAGTCTTATATTTAGGATCAGAAAGAGTAGTATTTTTCTTTCATCTAATTTTTTAAAATTTAAGTGCTTTATTCAAGTGAAATTTTTGGCTCAGCCTCACAGTGATTGCCCAAACATTGAAATATGGCATTATGATCCTTTGACTTGAGATTGGCATGATTATTATTTTCTTACTGGGAGTCCCACAGTCTAATTTCACAAAATTCATGATTTATAACATTGTGCTTAACAAAAATATGAAATGATTGCAACCAATTTAACCGTTAATGTTTGGATTATGCAGAAATTGTTAATGGGAAAAGTCAAGTCATCGTTGCTTAAGGCCGAGACTTGTGTTGAAAAGAAAAGGCAAAGGTAGAGTAATGCACAGCAATACATGTTTCTCCAGTATCATTTTCTCTTCCCATTTTTCTTGTAGTGCGCTTTCTTGTCATGGGACCACTCTCTCTCTCTCTCTCTCTCTGCGTGTGTGTCCTTTTTCTTAAAAAAATGTCTTACATGCAAATGGCGAACAGGAAGGCACATTCATCTTTTTCAGTCACTGTGTGTAATTCTCTTTCTCTCAATTGCCCTCAGGAATTCATTCTTTTCAAGAGTAATAAGAACCCAGTAAAATTTTCTCCTTCTTCATCTTCCACTGCCTCTGTGATTATATTGATGCTTCTTCTCACAGCAAAACCCAACTGATTTCTCAATTGCTAAGGTGAATATGATGTTCTCACCAACATTTTCCCCAAACCCTTCTTTATATCATAGTTTTAGGGTTCCCCCCTCCTTTTCCGGGGAACATTGTTTTAGATGAGCTTTCATGTCACTCAAACGATGTGATTGCCTCGTTGACAAAACATGTTCACTCAATGCATCAGAATTTGTGGCAATCTCTCACTCTCACTCTCTCTCTCTCTGTCTCTCGTGTATTAATCATGTTTATGGTAATAATTGCTTCATTCTTTTTCTGAATTACCTGGGGTTTTTGGTTGTTAAGAATATATAATGAGGCTGGATTGATCATAATGTGTGTGCATCAATACTCTTGGAGGGGATGTTGCTGGCAAGGTGACCTTGAGCATTTTGTTTCACATGAAAACTTCGCAAATCACAATACCTATTGGCTCTTGCATTTCTGACAAAAGCTATGAATTTTTTGCCCTTTCAGCATGTGTTTTTTGGACCAAACACGAGCCTTGAAAGTGGTCTAAATCACCTCTTTACTAGCTTTGTTCCTTTTTCCCTCTCATAGACCCATTTCCCCTTTCCTCTGTTGAATCATGGCTCTTCTGCTCCTGCTTAGCTGTAACAAGTCCATCTTTCACACTCACTATCACTTTCCTCGAATTATTTATTATAATCATTACTATAATTTGTCCTTCTTTTCTCTTTTTGTAGATGTATGAGTTAGTATTTACATATATATTACGGCAGCCTTTTCCACCTCCTTTTCATTTCTTTTAATCAGTGAAGATTTTTATGAGATTGTGCAAGATAGTGCAACCATATTTCATGATTACATTTGAAGGTTATATTGGAATTGAAGGGGGATCAATCAAGCATTAGTGCCATCAAAAAGAGCTTTAGATCTCAATGTCATCAAGAGAGAAGAGCCTCATGTCTTTGAGTTTCCAACTCGTGGGTATCTACCTATCCATCTATCTACTTCTCTCTTGTTCGGTGTATTTATTTTAATCATAAAAATCATCATAGCGTGTAATGAGAACTGTTGCCTTTAGATGCAAAATACTTATTAGATTCATATTTGTCTAAGGAATGTTGTCATTTCTAATAGGAGTGGTTGGAAATTATAGCTTGCACTTGTCCCCACCGAGGGCCACTACTCATGTGACTTAAAGGGTTGGATTAAGAAGAACCAAGAACAACCTTGATGAAATCCAGCTTTAAAATACGACTACTTTTAAAAGCACCTTGTTGGAAATTCTTGTTCTGGCTCTCCAGACAGCAAGGCCCATTCTTTTTATTTCTTTAAGTTTGCTTCTTCAGACAAGGTATAGTATTCAATAAGTTAGGCATCAGGATCATCGACATGGAAACATAAATAGAAAAGTGTACCAATAGGATTATCATATAACTTTGTCTTCACATTTTCTATTGGGTATAAAGTTAGCTGGGGGTGAGCATCATATTTGTGTGACGTTTAGAGAGAAGTGTGGTGTTCTTTGCTTTGAAGATAGCTGTTAATAAGAAACTGGAAAACCGGCCTACTTGTTGTTCCAAATCATTCATTATCACAAAGAAGAACACTAAGGTCAGTTTGTTGTCTCATGAGTTGTATCATTTTTATCAAACCATAACAAGAAGTCAAGAAGGATAAGCGTCATTTGTATCATTTGCATTATCATTCCATTCCATCTCATTAGCATTTCATTTCTTGTTCTGCAGCATTTCTGGAATTATCAACCCTCTTTCGCTATCTTGAATTTTCTGTTCTGGGGATTTATCATCATTTAAGCATAAATGTACTTGCAGAGATTGGATTGAACCAAGTACTTTTGGCAGTCAATTATGTCTTTGAACTCCTCACATTTTCCACCAAGAATGGTTACTTCACTTGGATTGATGGAGTGCAGATGACTTCTTTTGCATGTCATGTTTTCTGATCTGTGAAGTTAGCATATGTGGCTTTGATTTCTCCACTCTTTTGACTCTGGTCACCTTGTAGATGGGTAATGATGCAGTGATTGAATGCTGCTTAACCCTGGCTTGAGTTTTCATAACTAAACTACATTTTGTAGTTTAAACTACATTTTCGAAATGTGATATGAAAACATTTATATATGGCTTAAAACGGTAGATTAGATCACATGTTGTAGTTTCTCTACCCTGAGGGAATGGTTTTCTTGAAACCTACTGATTTTTGGTACTTCAGAGTTGAGCTTTCATGATAAAGCGTAGAAAAAATATAAGATTTCCCGAAAGTAGAAATCCTAGAAAATATTCTATCATGATGCTTCTTTTTACCTTGATGTGGGTTTTTGGCCATGGGCCACATTATGATTCATCCACCTGGGAAGTTACCATTTCCTTGGTGATTCCGAGGTTCATTTTGCTTCAACTTTCGACACTCATCGTCTTCTTCATGATGTCTTCAGAATACAGTGTTTTTTTATGGACTCTGCGTCTGAAATGACTAATCTTTTAGCTATCATTTATTTCAGGGGTTGAACAACTCTTCAATTGAAAGAAGAGCTTGTGAACAACTGGAGCCGTAGCTAGATCAGATTTATCATGTTTACAGTTATCCGCAGACACTAAATCTTTAGCTGTCTGTACAAAATCAGAAACTGGATCAAACGGTTCCGAAGAAAAGTGGGGAATCTTTCTTAGAGCTCGACCATGAACGATTTTAATTCTGAAAGATCAAAACCATGGAACATATACACAACTTCAGAGCCAGGTCCACCACAAGCAATGGTTGACAAGGAAGCTCCATGGAGAAGTTTTGGGACATCTATGAATGCCATTTCTTTTGGTTTTGTTGCCACCGCCATTTTGATCTCAATGTTCCTCATAATGGCCATATTTGAACATCTGTTCAAACCAACTTCACAGTATTCTTCACCAGAGTCTTTGCTGGATTCCCTGGAATCAGGAACAACCGGGAAACGCGGAAATAGACAAACTGTAAGTTTCTTCATGGCATTTCACTTCTGAAATTCCCTCATCTCTTTGTTCAATCTATGATGCTGTTTGGACTTGAACCTTTCATATCATGGCTGGTTCATTTGTAGTTTGAAGAAATCCAAGCTAATTTAAAACTGAGTAGCAAATATATTTTTTTTAAAAATGTGCCTAAATTTTTGTTCTTTTTAAAATAATTGATGTTTGTGACAGGTTTCAGCATCTTATGCACCAGATTTGTCAGTAATGATGCCTGGGCAGCAATATCCAACCTTCATAGCCAAACCTGCTCCTTTGCCTTGCTCAAGGGAAGGGATTCATTGGCCTTCTCATGAACAATGTTTTGTATTTGATTAGCTTTTATTTTGTGGTTAAATTCTAGCTTACATTCTACCAAAAGCTGTGCTCTTTTGAGATTATCAAGTATCTATGTTATACGTATATATTTTCAATGCATGTTCATCTGGCTCTTGGGATTGGAAATTAATCAGGTCAAATTTAGATCATATGCAGTTAGAATTTTGTGAAGTATCTTTAAAATAACAGAGGTTAAGAAAAGTGGATCTCAAAAGGAAAAAATATTTTTTATTCCTGGCCTGAAAGTGAAATCCATACACCTTTACTCTTTGCATCACTCTTGTTTTCAGAAGCAGCTCATTATTTTATATATTTTTAAAATAGTACCAAATTCCATTGCATAACTGGAGTTTAGATGAGTCATTACCAAATTGTAATTAATTTTAATCTGTTAATACCATTAATCTCTATAACTTTGATCTATTGGCATTATTAGACCATGTACAAAAACTAATTGTGCTAATAAAATAAAATAAAATGATTTAATATGAAGAGAAAAATTTACAAGTACCAAATTAAGAATTGAAGGAAACTATAGGTACTTCAAGACTGGTTTTCCTTAGGTTTTTTTCAAGTAAATAAATAGCATTATTATTTTTAAATTTTAATGACATTTTTTGAAATTATAGTTTGGTTTTGGGAAAAAAAAAATCTTGCATATATAATTGTATTGGAAAAATCTGGTAATGGATAGCTAAAAACATTCACGGCTTTTATACTTGTATAAAATTAGTTCAACTTCTTTAATGTACCATTTGTATCAAAAGATTTAAAATTTCATCGCATAAATTTTTTTTTTTAAAATCAGAATATAAAATTTTTCTTCCTTTGTTTGGGATTGGGCAAGTTGACCATGAACACTGCCAACGATAAAGGGCCTCCACCACTCTGGTCCGCAGACAGCAGCATAGGCTCTAAGATATCCGCCATCAGAATTTAAATTTTAAGTTAAAAATAAAATGGAACAATATAAACAACTAAATTATAAAAAAAACATTTACATGACCATGTGTCCTCTTACCAAAATATTAACATTTAATACTCCTCCGGTCCTTAATATAATATCTATTTAACTAATTTGATTAGATTAAGAAAGTTAGGTAAGTTAGTTAATTATAAAAAATGTAACACGTTTTTCCTAAAATACCATAATCATCTTTCTTAATACCTCCTCTTCCTCTTCTACTTAATTATAGTTGAGGGAGTATCCATAGGGGTAATTTAGAAAAAATTGATAAATATGAGAAATGAGTCTTATATTTAGGATTAAAACCAACTTAACAGTTAGATCCTATATTAAGAACCGGAGGAGTAATATTTAACTATAAACATACGTGAAACTAAATGAAAAACTTAACATAATAAATACAAGTAACTTGATCTGTACCAAATTAAATCTTTAATTTTTTTAAAAAAATAAATCCCAAATATCATGGACGGGCCTAATTTTTAAGGATCATCCTCCAAGAAGTTCAACACAGGCTGATGATCAGGTCCCTCGTTCTTCTTCAGGCACCATCAGGAATTGTTTTCATGAAACAAAAATCCATAAATAGTCCATAGAATAAACAAATCTCATAATCACATGAAAAATCAGCAAGAATCACACACTGCTAATAAAAACTCAATTAAATGATTTTTTTAATTTTATTTTTCCCTTTGGGTCATTCGCTCAAGTGAGTTAAACCACTCACTCTAACTAGGTTTCATTTACTCAATTCACAACAAAATATACGAGTCGATGAACACTTGTTAAAGTAGATCCACCGATGAATCTACCATAACAAATTTTTACTAGCTCCTTGCAATGGATATTCCCAAGACAACATAGTTATGTATTATATATAGTTGAAAATTTTCCACCGTCTCTCACTGCATTTTGAATGTTGCTGTATCAGTTTACATATTTTTGACAGATAAATCGTGTCACCCACCCTGGACATCAAACAAGCTAAATTAACAGAAGCACCCACCAACCAAGATAGCCTCTTCTAACAAGCCATGCTGCTACACCGTAAATGTTTTGACTTTACATTAGAAGCATAACCCCAGGAGGAAGAGGGAAGAAGTTGCAGGAACATTCAAAGGGTAGCCAAGACATTTAAACCCACAACTACTACCATCAACTATATTTCCACCATCTGAAAAAAACAAAATTCCCACCACTCCCTCCCTCTCTTCATTGTTTCTTGATCTCTGTGCCAGAGCTTCCCTCGCTATACCGCCATGAATTTTCTCATAAATATGCGCCCCCCTCCTTACTCCAGCCCAGCATCATTTTTAGGATTCTACCAAAGTATATACCAGAAAGTAGTATCATCTAATCCTCATCCTCATCAATCTCTTCATCTGGTATTAGAGTCAACAATGAATACTTAACTCGCAGAGAGATCTTGCCCTTCTCTACAGCAAGTCTTGCTCCAGAGACAACCCAGTAGCCAGGAGTCTCTTGTGGTCCTCGGGTCATCTCGGTGGTGTCAACAAACTTTAGAAGTTTGGGGGCTTGAACAGGAACAGGAGGGCCACCTGGGTAAACAGCAGAGTTTATATTAACATCTGCAGGCCGTGGAGGTGGCCTCTGAAATGTTGCTGTGAAGTGTTGGCTGATCAGTGTAGATATGAGCCCTGACTTGGCTCCCAGCCCTGGAGATCCATCCCACTCAGGATGCTTTACTAAGGTAACTCCTGACACGGTGGAAAATTTGAGTCTTAGAAAGAGAACATTTTTTATGCCATAATTCTCTACTTGTAATTGTGCTCCAGTGACAACTGAAAGATCCTCCTCGGATTCCACAGGAGCAGTGCACACATGAGAGAAATTCTTCCATTGAACTTTCTCATAAAATTTTCGCTCATAGTGCTCCCGTCTAAAGTTGCCATTTGGATCATCTTCAAGCTGAAATATTTTTGGAAGAGAAGAAAGATGCTGCATGTGGATGGCTAAGCGGTTGCTCCTTTTACCTTCGAGATATAGACGGAGACCAGTCACTGGCCTCTTACCAACATCAACCTGTTAACAAAACGAACAAGTATGCTGGTTTTAGCATAAATACTGCAAAATAGATATATTTAAACTCATTTGAGTTATTGTAGCATTCAGAAAACTCATCTATGGTGCTTTTCCCCCAAAAAAAAGAAAAAAAGAAAAAGGTCATCTATGATGGACCAATTAAATATGAATTAAAAATGCAGCCCAATCAGCTCCAGGATTCAGTTAAAACAACAAAAACAAGATATGACCAGAAACTTCATGACATCCAACCTTAAAAAACGGTGAGCAAATCAATTTTACCAGCAGAATACATTTAATTTAGTATATATTGGAAAGATGCATCTTCAAGAGAAACTGCACAAGTTCTTCGAGGACCAGCATTCATGCACAATTTAACACAAACCTTCTACCCACACCAACCAAACAAAAATAATAAATCCAGCAGACACGTGAACATAATTTATCACAATCCAAAGCACAGCCAACAAACACCTAGAATCAAGAACATTTACCTGTGTGGTGTTTACATAAAGCTTGGGCCCCATTAAACTAAACTGCAAAGATGCAGAACTCTGTTGTTTCCGCTGTGGACCAAGAGGAAGTTCGCTAAATACAGGTGCCCATTGCCTTGGCAGCTGGAATTCCAAGAACTGGTGGAGCTCCTCAATTGGTGGTTTATCTAAAATAATGATAATGAATGTGAAGTCATGAGGCCTTTTAATTTTTTTATACTAGGTTGATATTAAATACTAACACTGAAGGAAAATAATTTTTTTTTTTTTTAAAAAGGATGTCATAGAAATGATTTCAATCAGTCAAAAATTTATATAATAACATAGGCATGAACGTTCCAGGCTAGAAAGTTTAAGCTCTAGAGATAAAGATCACAAGCACATCAGTTCAAGCAACGGGAACAATTCATGGGCAAAAGGAAGAGCTCCAGAAAAACCTAGCTGCAATTGTCAACTTGTTGGTGACAAGAATACTTTTTAGCATTTCACAATTACAGGCAGGGGATAAGCTATATGATCTCTTCAAGTTCTCCCTCCAGCAATAGTGTAGGCAACAATGGTAGAAGATTGGATGTCCAGGGCATCATACTAAAGTTTCTCAATAGCATGCAATAATTGTTCAAATAACATGGACAAAGTTGACTCTGAAAATGCAAGAAACAATGTTGCTCACATCGTAGGTAAAGATTTATGGCATGGCTCAAGAATCCACTCCCAGGCACTCCGTTAAGGAGAGACGTGATAGGTATGAAAGACATTGAGATTACATCAGGTTCCGACTGAACAGTCTGTAACCACTTATTATGGGATGAGTTTCTGTCATTTTCTCCACCCCTCCTCTTGCAGATGCTTACAATATCCTGCAACAACGTGCCAACTTAGGCATAACAAAAGGAAAGAATTTCAAGGCTAGTTCTCTAAGGCTTACCTCCTTGTGAGAATATGAACTTGATGGACTGATATTAGCAAACCTCAGCTCCTTGATCCCAAACTGAAGGGAAGCAAAAAGTCCATTAAAAATCAACATGAGTTACCATAACAAAAAGGGAAGTTCCATTAAAAAGTCGATTCATAATGATCCCATAATAGGTGGAAGCCTCTAACACATTTGAACTCCTAGAAGTCTAAAGGCCACAGATAGAAATGGGAAAGCAGAGCACATTGCAACGTTACTGCTTTTATTTTCTTTCCATTAAAAATACGTCATGAAAAATGAGATTTTATTTGTTTGAAAGGAAATAAAGCAGGGCATATAGGACTGAGTTATCTGTGATAGAATATTGAATTCACTGCTATGCAGCTTTCTTCTTCCAACACTTTCTTAAGAGTTTAGATATCATGTTCATGCCTAATTTTGAATGTAATAGAAGCAAAAAAAAAGAAACAAAATTGAGGGGAAAAAAGATAAAAGGTGCACAGAGTGATTTCAATATTCCGATTAAAAATGAATCATATTGAGGACAGGCAAACAGATGCCTTCTATAAACCTTGTCATTCGGGTAAACTTGATCGGAAGCAATGTTGTATTGTCCATTGGCATCTAAAAATCTCCTATCAGCTATCTCCTTCAATTTTTTCTGAACATCAACAGGTTGAAGAGTTGATGAATGCTGCTGCTTTAAATAAATTACATCCTTTCCGCCCATCTTCAAACCAACAATAATATGTGTTCCAAAGGTCTCAATAAACCTGAAATTACAATAAATAGCAATATTTACTATAGTCTCAACTCTGCGATAAAGTTATAGTTTGAAAAATATGACCAGCATCAGTCCAACCAAGCCTGTTGACACAATTTTAGGAAAGAAAAAAAATTTGTATGTGCCATCCAGCTGGTGCCAACAGGACGAATTATTTCAGAAACAATAAAGTAGAAACGTAGGGGGCTACATATCCATACGAATTATTATGATCTTATAGCGACCATCAATCAAGTTTTCTATTTGAAATCTAAATGAAAGTCAAGCAAGGCAACCAAAGATAATGAATGGATCAATGTAAACCAGGATTTTAAATCATGACAATTTGGCAGTATGTTTGATAGTTATTACTAAGAGGTACCACTTATAATATTTTATATACCAAGATGTTCGGCAAGAAAATTTTGGCAGAACATAAAAAAGGAAAAAAAAAATTCACTCAATGAAGTTGGGTTTCATCAAAGCAAGAATGCGGTCAGTCAGATGCAACCACAAGTGAAACAAATCAGGGCCAATAGGGGAAATTATGTTTTTAAGCTCACATATTAGAGTTATGATAGGCATTTTATACCACTATGATAACAATAAATAATCTATCGGAGAAATACTACACACAAATCATAGACATGCAAGTCCCGAAGCGTGAGATTTTTTTTCCCCCTTTTTGGGAAAGAGACATAAGTTTTAATATAGGAATGGTAGCAAACCCTTATAACTGTAGGTCGAGGATTTAAAACATGATAAAATAAAGAGGCAAACACTACAGAAAGAAATTGCAAACCATTTAACCCACATGAAGTTATCATTACCATCTTTTCAATAACAAACCTTTACATATTAAGGACCAAAGTACCACAGAAGTTCAAATGGCTAATAATCTACAACATTTCAAGAAATCCATGATTCCACCATCTGGTTTAGGACCAGTAATACTAGTTCATTTGACACAAAATTTGATTATTGCTTCACCATTTGGTAAGAACATTTACAAAGACCAGCATTTACCTTGCTAATGCAGGCGGGTCCCATGATGATGGCACAGCATTTTTGACATTATCACGGAGTACCATCTGAGATTTCTCTAATGCAACAGTGTAAAGAGTAATAAACACCCCATCAAAAGCAAGGGTCTTGGTATAGGCTGCATCTTTCTGCCAACTTCCAGAGAACTCAAACATGGCATTGAAGTGGCCTGAGGGAATTTTACCCGTCAAAGATAATTCCTGATTGAACTGCTCGGACATCTGAAAACATTTAAAAGAAACAGATAGCCGGTGAGGAGGGGAAAACATGTGTAAGCCTATAGAATGTGGAACAAGTAGTACCTTATTACCGTATCTTGTGCAACACAACTCTGTTTTAAGTCTGTCCATGTGGCATGTGTTTAGAGTAATGCATCATATCAATGGCTAGCTTGGAACATAGCCTCTTAGTTATGGAAGGCTAAATTTATGGATTTCTGGTTATTTTAAGAACTAAAACTATGTTTGAATTGTAGCTCATCAAGTTATCATATTTAAGAACAATGTATTGCCAGGAAATCGAAACAGATGTCTGTAGTATTGCATGAGACTCCACACAGTTTCTAATCAATTACCTAAAAAACATTATTTTTCGTGGCCCACACATAGATCCTCCTTTAAAAGTAAAATAATAACAACAAATGCACACATAGAGATATGCAATTAAAATTACCTGTTGAAAAGAAATAACATCAGACCTGAACCTAGTTCGTTCCCCTTTATCACATTTTATCGATTTTGAAACATTTGGAATAGATATCCCATCAGGTAGAACCACCTCTCTTCCATCGCCTTCATCTATCTCAATTAATCGAGAATTTATGGGTTCTCCTTTGCAGTACTTAAGTCTCAGATCATTGCAGATGTCATATCCACGCCCAATGGATCCAATTGCAGTCTCAGCGGCTTTTCGCGCTGAAGCCTTGAGCTCCATAACTCAGCACATTACTCCCCAAGCTAACCAAAACAAAGTCAGAAACCCAGCAAACTCCTGCATTAGCATAATTAACACAAAATTAATATCAAGTCACCTCCTACGTCAAGCAAATAATGCATATACTTGAAACTAGGATAATACATGGGTATGCAACCTTAACAATAGACAGAACGATAGTTCAACCTGTTACAGCGATCTATATCTGCCTACTCACTTACTAATGAAAATAACGAAAAATCTTCAGCTCAAGCCAATGAAAAACGGGAAAAGATTTCACCCTTTATGATTAAATTAAAAACTGGAAAACCAAAAAAAACATCACACACATTCCACCGATTAAGTGCCCCACGAAATGAATAAGCTTGGATACATTCATACATATCCAGCCCCACCCCAAGTCCGCAACGCACACACGGGCCAGCATGCACATCAATAAAAACACATTCTTACTCACCCCTTCATAAAACTAGAAAAATCTAAAGAAAAATCGGTACTTAATAGTTAAGAGGCATGAAAGCTCATCACTGATCGCAGTGACTCCTCCGCCACTTTAAGAATAGAAGCGAAACCCCTCCCAAATGAGGCAGACAGCCAATTGCGGAACTCAAGAATTGGCAATCAAGGCCAGCAATGCGCGATTAGTAGCAACGGTTCCGAAACCCTAACAAGGCAGACGATTATTGGAACTTCCGCGAAGAAAAGTTGAAGTCTTCGAGGAAAAAGGCCAGGACCACAGATAGAGAAAGGGAGGAAGCGAGAGGAAAAGGGAACCCTATAATGAAGAGAGAGAAAGAAAGGGACGTGAGTTAAAAAGAAGCACGAGGAGGGAGTGAGGATGAAGTAAATTCGGTTTGGGTTTGACCAAAATGTAGATTTCGTGGACACGTGTGGACTGACACTTTTAGCTGAACCAATCACAGATGGTTTTACAAGTCCTAGTCAACCTTTTTCAATCAGTATGTCTCATTGTTCGTTAATACGGCTGCCTACTAGATTAGATTAGATTGGCCTTCAACGATAACCACAACAGTTCCTTGTCAAGAGCCAAAATACTAGTCGAAATAATTAATGGAAAATTTTGCATGCAGATTTTATTAAAATTACTGAATAATCAATAATAATAATAAATCTTATTTCATTACGTGGGGCTGACTGCATAAATCATACGACTATAAACAATCAAATATTTAGATATGTTGTTAATCAGAAGGTCTCGTTCAACAATTCTCAGTTTTTTTCTTTTTATCGGATTTCAAACTGTTTCATCTGTAAAATTACTGAATAATCAAATAAATAAATTTATGACAGTATTTATTACTAGATGTTAGATAATATTTCATTAAGTGGGGTTGACTACATAAATCATATGACTATAAATAACTAAATCTTTAAATATGTTGTTAACTAAAAGATCTCGTCCAACGATCCTTGGTTTTCTTGTTTTTTTCATAGGATTTGAAACTGTTTCATCTGCAAAATTACTGAATAATCAAATAAATAAATTTATGACAGTATTTATTACTAGACGTTAGATAATATTTCACTCAATATGTCTTTATTAACGAGTATTACTACTTCTGAAGCTGACACATACTTTCATTCCAAAAATAGAAAAAAAGCTTATACGAACTTTAGTACCGAATCTACTTAATATTTTAAGATAATTTATTTAACGTATTCAGAGTATAAGAATAATTTATTTGACACTGTGAGACTATAAAGACTAAACCGAGACCAATTAAAATATGAGCACCGAGGATCAAATTGAATGAAACGTACTAAAAAAAATTGAATGAAATGGTGTCCCTAATAAATATTTTTTTTTTGGCCAACCCCTAATATTTATATTTTAAGGCCAGCAAATGAGATTTCTTACAGTAATATTCAATTTTATCCTAGTTTAGAACCGATATTTATTGGTACTCGCAATGCCGCATGACTTCCTCCGACTCACACTTCGCAGATCTAAGGCCTCGTTTGGATCGCTGAAAGCATTTTTTAAAAAAAAATTGAAAAATATAAAAAAAAAGGAAAATACTATTTTCAAACCCTAATTAGAAGATCCCGTTTATAGATTACAAACGACACCTTATAGTAGGACCGGAGGTAGTAATAATCTTTTTCCGCTTTGTTCCTTTTTCCCCTGTTGAATTCATGTGAACCAAACTGGGCCTCATGCATTCTAGAATTTGTAAAAGTGATTTATATCTTTCTCTAATCTTATTTATAAATTAAAATAAAAAAATTTCGTCTTATATACACTTAAGCCGTATTATTAAATTCTTTGTATATAGATATCCACTTCTAATATTATGTAAATTACTATTTTCTTGGAGAGTATATATATCTTAAATAAGAATAAATTTAGAAAATTATTAAAGCTTAAGACAAAAAGCAATAGAATCTAATATTTTTCTTCGTTTTAGTAAAATATGCTTAAAGGGTTTTAATAGGACTGAAGGAATATATGGTATGTTCCAAACTACTTGATTTATTTCAAAAATGATTCCAATTTAAGTCATGCATTGATTCAATGTAATAATAGTGTAGCTGTTGAGACGTCAATATTGAGGAGGGACAACTTTTCAAAAGACACCACACAGGCTGCTTAACAGAGTTCCCCCCCAAAAAAAAAAAATTAGGTGGGGAATAAATTATTTACGGAAAATGGGCAAACCAAAAGATGCAAAACCATGTGATTATTATTCTTCCCATATGCTGATATGCTCCCTCACTCGTCTTATGAGCTACCAGTGAGCTAGTGGCATTGTATCAGAACTTATATAAGATATTTTAATTGGGGTTAATGTCATTTTTAATTCATAAAATTTAGTTTCATTTTAGTCTTGGCTTTTGAAGTTTAAAACCAATGATTTTTGTCTCCAAAATTTGATTTCATTCTGATCTGTCTAAAGATATTTGATCCCTAAAATAAGGTTTCAATGATTTTCAAATTTTATGAACAAAAACTAAAACGAAATCAAATTTTAAGAATTAAAAATAGTATTAACCCATTCAATTATTAAAAAAATTAAAAGAGATCGGTTCAGGGTTTGCGTGTGTATTTCATACCATGAAGGCAATATATGAAAAACTGCCTGCGCTGTTTAGTTGTAAATTTTTTTTTATAGATTTTATATTTTAATTTGATTGTTTATTGATATTGATTTATATTTAATACTCGCAATAATTCTTTTATAAAAACATATGGTATGCATCCAATATTACTGACTAAATTTGGGTATTAATGTATTAGTATGCTTAATTATGAATACTTTTCAAGCCGTAGTTTTTTCTTTTTTTTTTAGCAAAACAAGTCAATTTTATTAATAACCAAAAGAAGGGTACAAACACCAATAGCCCAAAGGCCGGAAAAGCAAACACTCAAAAGCCTATAATACAACCTAACACACAAACCTTACCAAAGAAAAAAGACCAAACAGAAAATAAACTGACTTACTAAGAAACTAAATACAGAGGACACTTAGCCAATACCAGTACGGTCCCTACACACCAGGCCACAGGAGCTCACATCATTAATCAAAACAGCCAACAGAGAGGATGGTGGCTTTGAAAGCCATCCCGAAGGTACCATGCCCCTCAATGCCTCAGCTGCAATTAGATCAGCAGCCTTGTTTCCTTTTCTGTCAACCAGGGAAAGATTCCATGAAGACTTACCCGAAAGACTATCAATGCATTTCTGCACCACCTCTGAACAGCACCATTCTCCTCCTTTCCCATCCTTCCTCTGCAGTAGATCGTACAACTCCTGGCAATCCATCTCAAAGACCACATGATCCCAGTTTTTTATTTCAGCAACTTCTAAAGCAGATAGAAAAGCTAAACATTCAGTCATAAATGGTGAAATCGACTCCACCTTCTTCCCCAAGCCTCCAATAAACTCTCCTTTCTCGTTTCTGCACACCACACCAACTGCTGCTTCCTTAGAGTCATGCTTGAAAGCCCCATCCATGTTAATTTTGATCGTGTTAGCTGCTGGTCTCAACCACTCCTGGTTTCTATCACAGCTCTTCCTGCCCCCTTCCTTTCTTCCCTCCCTTTCAGTTGCATTCTGGAAGTCTCTAACTAATCTCATTGCTTTTGCCACACAATTCAAGGCATCAACATCTTCACCTTCAAAAATTGCCTTGCATCTAGATTTCCAGATCCACCAGCAGATTCCTGCAAAAATTGCTAAATTCTGTTTATCCTTGCCCATTTTACTGTCCAACCATTCTTCCAACCATTTGTCAAACCGAAAGTTTCCCTTATCATTAAACTTCAGTGACAAAGGGGAGCCAAACCAGCAGACTTTTGCCCATGGACATTGAAATAACATGTGCTCAACAATTTCCACATGTGTTCTGCAGATCTCACATATCGGGTTCACTGAACATTTCTTCCTGAATAATGCTTCTTTAGTTGCCAAAGCCCCATTCACAGCCCTCCACATAAAATGCAGCACCTTAGGAGGTAATTTAATGTTCCAGATCCCGCTCCACAGGTTCTTAGAGGGTTTATAAGAAGAACTAGGCTTATCAGTAGCATTATCCCTCATTATGTTCAGAGCAACCTTATAGCCTAGTTTTACCATGTATTCACCGCTTCTGCTTTTTAACCACACCCTTTTGTCATTGCTGCTTATTGATGGAATTTTGACCTGCATAATGAGTTCTTTGTCTTCATCATCAAGAGCATCTTGGGTCTCATCAAAATACCACTTTCCTTCTTTAATCAAACTATTTACCTTGAGGTTTCTTGAATTATCATTCAAATTTCTACTTTTCAATTTCAAAGAGTCTGCAGTAGGAATCCACTGATCATTAAAAATAGAGATCTTCTCACCATTCTCCACTTTCCAGCATAGGTCCTTCCTTATCAGGTCCCTTCCATTTACCCCAGGATGCTTTATTTCCTTTCTTTGCTTCCAAAAAGCATCCATTAGGGAAATATATGCCCTTCAACATTTTAACCCAAAGAGCATCTGGTTGTTGCACCATTCTCCATGCTGTTTTTGCTAGCAGAGCTAGGTTAAAGGCTTCTAGCTCTCTGAATCCCATACCCCCTTCTCCTTTAGCTTTGCACAAACTTTTCCAAGACTTCTAATGGATTCTCCCCTCCTGTTCCTTCTGGCCCCACCAGAACTTAGAAACCATACTGTCAAGCTCAACACAACATTTTCGAGGGAATTTGAAGCAAGACATTGAAAACACAGGTATTGCATTCGCCACTGACTTAACCAACACTTCTCTTCCCACAAAAGTTAATAGCTTTTGTTTCCAACCCTGCAATCTTAAACTCATCTTGCATTTCACAAAATTAAGAGCTTCAGCTTTAGATTTCCCCCAAATCAGTGGTAATCCCAGATACTTCCCTGGGTTCTCACTTGCCTTTATCCCTAGAACATCATATATTTCCTTTTTCAAGCTATCACTGGCGTTCTTTGAGAAAAAAAACACAGGATTTATCAAAATTCACCGCCTGACCTGATGCTTCACAGTAACAATCCAGTATGCTCTTTAACAACTTACAGTTTCTCTTCTCT